TTCCCACCTCCAAATCCTATTCCAAACCCCAGCACCGTAGGCAACCAAAACCACAACCATAATCACACCACCAACCTACTTCCTGTCCCTGTATCAGCCCATCAACATCCACAGCGATCCCGTTCCGCTTCTCCAGCAAGCTCAAGCTCAAGAGGTCATTCCCCCCGTGACTCCATGTTACCGCTTCTTCATGCGCATAGCCACTCGGTATCGGATTATCAGCGACCTCAAAATCAACAACAAATAGGCTACGAAGTTCGTCCGTCTAGACCGCGGGAAGGGATAGCGAATGGCTTCATGGATGCAAGAGGAAGGCCGAGAGTCGACAGTGTCACGGGTGTAAGGTCGCCTCCGCCGACTTACGTGTCTGGGATTGAGGCTTTCAGATGATCGGATCAAGTAGTAATTAGTCGGACGTCGTGTGTGGAGGAAAGCTCTCTCCGTGGTGTACTGTACAGTACAGCATGAGTACGGGACGTAGGGTACCTCGTTTGCGGTCTTGTGATTTCGTTCTCACAGTTATCTTTGTTTATGTCAGTCCAACTCCTTTCGGATGTCATCAACTATCATGTCATATCTTGTAGGATTCATAGATGTATAGACAATATCGGAGACAATGACTTGGCAGTTGACGCGAGAAGTACTCGTATCGCACCAACTCCTGGATACCTACCATGGCAACCGAGGACATAAAGTACCCCCGCAGCAACGGATGCACCCCGGCTCTTGGGAGATCTCGATGAGGACGGAGCACAGCTTGCACGTAGCTATGTGTGTGTGTGTGTGTGTTCCTCCAGTACTTTCATTACGTACAGCCGGGTGCGCCCAAGTTTAGCCCCATCAAAAGCTGTAGGGTTGCCTACTCTACACTCCCATATATTCGCGCTTCTTGCTGTGTGCGGCAGTCAGCTCGCATGACAACGGTAACCTCGTACACGAGCAGCAGGTTACAACGTCTCCATCCTATTCCTTACAGAGTACTGTACTCCAACATTGCATGTTTTTTTCTGCCGTCATCCACACCGAATTCGGGATTATCGCGACACTCTCGATAATCTTTCTATACAAGTGCTGCTCCCTTCAACATTCGGAGGCCAATGGCAATCAAAGATGGACATTACATGGTTAGTCTTCATTGTGAGTGCAATTTCTCGTATTGCACATCGGAGTGTCAGATCTTTCCATAACCCGAGCGTCGCAGCAGCGTTCAATCCGTTGAGAGGATCTCGAAGCTTGTGACCGTCAGCGTGTCTCGTCATGTAGCAGACATTACCTTCAAGCGTTCGCAAACGATCAATGGATTCCTTGCTGATTCATTACCCCCCCTGCGCCTCCACACAGGCGCCAACTGTGTTCGCCATTGTCATTTTTATAGCTGTCTATAGGAGGTACAGAGTCCATCGAGCTTTGTAAGCGCATTCTACGATGTCATTGGCACGTAAGCGATACGCTATCACTCCCACCATTCTGGCGCCCACTCTCCTGGCGAATGCCGTCAGCCATAGACCCCCGTTGGTGGCCCAGTAGGAGACAATTGCCAGATTCATTAACAAGGTAGCAATCGGTCGAGAGCTGGAATTGCATGCTGATCCATCAAATGTTCCCTGTTCTCCCTTCCAAGTCGAAGAGCGGATAGGCAGAACCCGCCTCAGAATCAAGGACCGTTTGAAATCGACCCACCAACTGTCACGCCCTTCCCTGCTCCCCAACCCGTCTCAATTCCAACCGCAACTCCTGAGTCCGGCAGAGCTGTCAATCCCACTGCTGTCATTCGAGCGGAGCATCCACCTTTCGAGTCGAGCGAGCCACTCCTGCCCCCTGCAGTACCTTTAGATCCAGACAATCACCCCCAAAAACCGTCTCATCCTCGTCATGGCCAGCGGAACAGCAAAACCGGCGGAGTGCCAGGACTGACCCTACATGGACCACCATTTGAGTCCGTTGACGACCGCACGGAGGAGAGTGGTGGGAGAGGAGACGATGATCTCAACACAGGAGGGATTTTGTCGCCGCCCCCAACGTATACGAGAGAAGAAATCGAAACAGGCCGATGCTTACTAGCTCGATCGACCACATTATAAAGGTACAGAAGCCGGCTATCGAAGAACACTCGAGCCGGACATCGATGCAGACACAAAAATGAAGCATAACAGCCGGTTCCTCGAAAGCCAAGAACGAAGATCCTCCAGTATTGGTTTGTACCTTACGATGTCACACCATGCCAAGCGGCAAGTAAAACGTATGCCAAGAGCTTACTGCATTATCTAATCACTGGAATCTTTGCACAGCTCAATCATTAGGCGTACGCTGGACGACATGCGATTGGTGGACCTGAAAGCACGTTCCCCACAATTGCAATTTGATTTGGAGTTCTTATACATTCTTCCTGTCTCATGAGGAATGAATTATGTGCAGTACAGACATATACGTATTCACCGATATCATCGGGGCGTATCACGAATGTGCTTCTGTAACCAAGATAAGAGAAAATTATGACCGAGCTTCGGTGGGGAACTCGGCCGCGGATCGTTTCACATTCACCCCATCCGAAGTCAGGGCTGACCCCAAGTAAGGTGACCTGTCTTCCACTCTCCCTTCAAATTTCTAGCCCTGCTCGTCGCCACAGCGGATTAGGTATACGATTCGCTCGTCTCGGGAATGAGCAGAGGCTTCGAACGACTTGCTACATCTCTACATATCATCTAGCAGGCTCCTCCGCGCCGTGAAGCAGAAAGCGGCCGTATCGGCGCTCGCTGATACATATGGGTTCAGCCGTCCGTGCCTGATAGGCGGCTCATGATATCATTTCGGCGCCGTTCGTACCTGAGTGCCCTCATTCTTGGCACCGCCTTGCTTGGCTTTGGATTGTCCACTTGCATCGCTTTCCACAAAAGTACCTCAGATGCGTTGTGTTACCAATACTCTCTTACGGATATATGAATTGCTCCAGCCAATGGAGTTCAAGATACAAAAGAATACAAGAATCGGCGGTGCCGTAGCCACCTGGACAGGAACAGGGTCGCGATATGATATCCATAATCATACCCTGTATCCACTCTACCGCTTGACTTGATTGCCGGTGTGTTGCCTTCATCAGGTTCTCGTCGTGATGTGATGCCAAGGCCTCGTAGATATAGATAAGAGCGGCGAGGTTCAAGCACTTCTCAAATGAGCTTCCCTTCTCGGTCCTCTATCAATCAATCTTAACTGCACCACTCGATTTCACGACTACTTACAACTCTCCTTTCACATTAGGACAAATTCAGATCGTCCGACACCCAGATGTATATCCCAAACGATACTGCTTTCTCAACACGGCCTGTTGTACCTGGGTTGAGCAAACGGCTCTCATCATTTCCTGGTAGCAACCACGGTAGCTTGAGTAAACCCTTGAATATCTTCATTCCAGTGAGTCGATCTCAACCATCGTAGTTTTGGATCTGAAGGGTTGCGGGGCTGGCTTGGATATTGTTGAGTGGTGAGCACGGATGGATTGCTCTTCTCTCTACCGCGATCGGAGGCAATCGACACAACGTCATCCAGACATGATGGCTGACTCCGAGGCTCGCACACTGTACTTGTATAGGTCTTTGCGGTCTTCTTCTCGCTAGTGATCATTGCGGTACTGGCACCAAAGATAAGGCAATGCTATGTTCACGACCAGCTGTGAGTGCGACCGGTTCATGCCTTTTTGGGGACGCCTATAGTATATGGCTCTTCTGAGCTATGAGCTATAAAGCTGACGAACAGTACTTCTGTGCGTATGATGAGCCAAGCTGACTCCTGTCTGTTCGCTCATCAGCCGCTCAGCCGAGCGTCGTAGTAATCATTCTCGTACTCAATTTCTGCCTAATCGCACTCAGCCATTCGAGATTGATGGTCCAACCGTAACTCCTTTCCCTGCTCCATCCGAAACACCCACGATCCAATACCCCTGGACACCCCGGGAAACCGCTACTTCTCCTCGAGCGTCATCCCCGACGCGTCCGGGTCATTACCCCTGGACCCCACGAATGCCCGAGCAAGCCCATGTTTCTAGCTCCACCCGCCAAGTATCCTCTACACCAGTTGTACAGGTCATACCGCCTGCGTACTCTTTTATTTCTTCACCTCAGGCAGAAGCCGAGAGAGATGTACCCGCTACAACGACGAGTGGACAGATGGGTGGTCTAGAGCGACCAGCAAGTGAAATACCCCGGGTCCAATCACCCGTAGGACTCAACTCTGGTGGATCGATATCAGGCGTCGATGCTCCACCTCAATACGAAAGTGTCGTCTCTCCTGTTCGATAACAAGACATTCCCTGCGAATCATACTCGTCCTCTCGTTTCCGCTTTCTTTCAAGTGGGCAATAATGTATAAATATAGGAACGGGTTACTGGCTTATAATCGACATATATAAGTGAAGGTGTAAGATCCATCTATAGATACGAATAATTCAGTTGTAATCATATACAGTATGACTTTTCGAGACAACGCCTAGAATAGCAACACACGCATGTATCAACTCATGCTCACAGGTTGCGGAGTTTGAGCGACCGAGGTGACTATGTGGGTCAGATCTCGGTGCACCTAACTAGCCTAGGGTTGACCTTCTTCCCTCCCTTATGAGGTCTGTCCTATCGTTCTTTTTGACTTCTCATCGTTACCCTCCTTTGCAAAGACATCAATGTAGCAGGTGAGCCTCCTTTCGTCAGCTGACCTTTGTCGAGAGGAAGTTGCATACAACCGAGGGTACTTGGAACATCACAGGTCTAGACGCTCTCGAAGCTGGAATGCTCTGGACACTCCCATGTACTACTCAGCCTACATATATACTGTATGTACCCTCCAATAGTTGGACTGATCAAAGACCGTCCCCATCGCTTGAAGTCATTTAGTGGGACTCGACGGTTACGGTCTATCACTGATCCTAGTATACCTGTCAGCTCTACTACTACTACCATCAACATCATCACGATCATCATCACACTAACTCCCCTCTCTTTAAAAGTGGTTTACAGGTGGAAGTCTATTTGGTAGGACGCTCGCTTTGGGTGCGAGTTTGTGCAGGTTCGAGCCCTGCTCACCTGACAATGTTAGTTAACAGCACTAACGCAGTCTGCCAGTACCGCTTGCCTATCCTTGTGCCCGAGTTATATCCTGGATCTCCAGGGCTTCATTCACACCATGGCCTTTTTCAAGTGGGCATCCAGCTTCGGTCTGTCTTCCCAAGCATCAAGGTCAGCAAGGACTATCAGCGAGGACGACACGAACATACTCAATGCCTGCAGTGCGTTGACATTCGACGACAAGCAGCACTTGAGATACTACCACTCTGATGATGCCTTAGCTTTTGGCAACTACGTGGAGGCGAATCAGGATTTCGTTCAACGACTCTCGTCCATAGTAGACGGAACGGCCTCCGTCCAAGTCTATTGTTCGGAAGTGACCAGAGTGGCAGCGACGCATGTGCTCGATCACATCAGGACGACATACGGGATTGTGCCGATTGGGACGCGACCACCGGTAACGAATCGGGGCCCGATTGCAGTGCACGATGATCAGTCGGCGGTAGCTTCGGACGCGTCCTCGCACCTGTCTGCCCATGAAGACATGGAGGACCGGCGCACGGCAAAAAGCAAGACCACGACACCAGCGGGCGCGACCCAGCTACCGGCGGGTGGTGCGGGGGCTGTCCGAACGACCGATTCGAAGGATCGTGACCGCATCACCAGACAGACGCTTATTTCGACCATTGCCACTCGCCATCCGTCTCTTCAACCTGCATCACGATCGGAGAGATCGTGGCCAAGGCCTGCACCATGCAGCGTTCCCGTAATCTCGAACGACAACCAGGCAGGAGCGGCTATCCACCTAAGCTCCAGGACTGTGATCACGACTATGGACTTAATGAGCGACATCGACATCGACTCTGAGATGCCGTCCATCTCGAGGGACAACTCTGGCAGAGATCTCCCCGTTGACCCAGCCGTCGACACTACGGTGCTGCGCCCTAGGCCTTCGGTTGTGAGAACTGACAAGCGATCTTTGCGAGGGGATGGTGGCCATTTTGTTCACAGACGTCGACCAGCCATCTCAAGGTTGAGTTGGCCCTGACATGCTTTTGTTGAGGATAAATAGTTGGCCGACGTAAATCAGCTGCATGTGCTGTATATACTCTGGTGCCTCCCATCTTTTACGTGAGTCCGTACCGCGTCACATCAGTGTGCGAGCCAAGCAGCTCCAATCTAGTAGAGACAATGTGTGTATGATACATGTAAACCATGCGTTGCATAGATCAAACAAAAATTTGCCACTTACCGTACTCTTTAGGCCTGGTGTACAGTACATTATACGATGACACCCAAGTCTGCCCGTCTTTTCATGTCAGAAGGAAGGGATGAACGCCTCTGTTCATCAAACACATGCCTTCTCAGTCAAGTCTAGAGCGCGTAAGCTGAACGGTTCTTCGGATGACGTATTTGAATCATCCTTTTTGACAACTTCGAAGTCTTCAGTACGCAGCATGTCACTTCTCCTATCCCCCCAGCAAGCGAGGCGTGTCTACCTCTGCTTGGTCTGTCCCCAAGGGTATATAATCGACATTTGTATCTCGCTTGTTCCTGTTCTATCGCAACGTACTCAAGAACCCCATCCCCGAAAGTCGCTCGACAGGCTATAATCCTCCAAGCAACCGTCAGAGCTTTTCCACGTTCGCGTTTCGCCGTTGACAGTCCCATTAACAGGCGTCAATCGCACTCTTCAAGCGTATCAGCAGTTTGCACCTCGGCCCATATCTGGCTATTTTACCCCTAGGTCGTCGCGGCAATGTCACACAGCTCTTCTAGATCAGGAAACGTCTATGGCTCCTCTGCCCCTCCTTCGAGAGCTGTTACCAACCCTCTTTCGAGAGAGATGTTAGGTTCCATAGCCTGGTTGACACGCTCAGACCGACGCCCACACGGAATGACCGACTACGATGCGATGATCTTGGCTCATGCAAGGTCTGGCAATTCCGAAATCCTGGGTTCACACGTCCGAAACCATCCCGAATTCCATCAGTGTCTGATCAATCTTCGCGATGCACCCTTCCAGTACGGCCATCAAGAAGCTACAGCGGGAGCAGCGTGGACGATCCTGGAGTATATAAGAACGAATTGTGGGATAGATGACGGGGGTCCCGACCCAGAGATCGCTGAGTCCAACAACCGTTCCGGAAACAATGCACAGACACCATCACAAGCTACCACCAGTGCTTCCGGCGCAAATGATCCGTCGTCTTCAACTGCTGATGGCACCAGGAGCTTGGTCACGGATGACACTGAGCCTGCTAGGCCGGCCTAGCCCAGTACTGCCCTGATTCGTCCCTGGCTCGAGGTGGAAGGGATGTCAACTGACGGTCACAAGTCCGTACATCCTGTACATAGCAATAGAGATTCGGTAACGCAGAATGAGAGTTTACATGGAGAAACATGGGGGAGATCCGAGCCACGAAAGCTAGAACTGCACGCCAGCGCTACAGTCTTCACCTTTGGTCATACTCCCAAGTAGTGAAGTGTAATGTACTGTATATATATCGAGACAGCCATCTGGCGTATAGGAATGTCTCAGCCAACGTTGATAGGTAGGGGGTTAAATGCACGAATGAGAGGTCGAATGAGAGGTCCGCCCAACCAATAGCGATCTTTGAACCAGTTCTTGCTGGATTTTGTAGCATTGTCCAGACTAACTCTGTTTCGGATGATCATGCTACCTATCCTAACCCTGACCCCGAAGTAGCGTCAACAACGACCACCATCAATCTGATATCGGCTTAACAGCCGCTCATTATCGAGTACTTCGGTGTCGAGCGCAGAAGCATGAAAGACTGGAAGCAGCAGGACGGAGGCGTCAAGCTGCACTGTGTCCAGCCCCGGCAAGATAACCTATCCCTTTTGATTCTCCTTTCGGTGTATATGTTCGGGTGGCGAAGTAGCAGAGGGAATGCAGCCAGGCTCAAGGATTAACATATATGATCGCGGTTAGCCTTCGCCGCATAAGTGCGTATAGTCCGTTTCTCTCCTATTTTCAGTATAACACATGGCGTTACGCACTTCTCCTTCTCGACGGCGTAGGCCCGGCCTGGGAAACCAAGAGCTGTTCGCAGGGCTCCACCGACCGAGACCTCATGATCGCCAGTATTCACTGCAGGGCACGTGCCGAAGAATCTCTTTTGTATTGCCCGTTTGCTTCAATTGCCTTATACGCCTCCGCGCGAGTACACCAACTAGCACATATATAGCGATGCATGACTTTTCATTATCTGTCCGTCGGGAACAGGATTTTGTACCACAAAAGGCTAAATCTCCTCTCAGGTCCAACGCCTGCACGTTCGGGAAGGAACAGGGTGGGTTTTAGCTCAAATCTCACGTTCGGTACCAACGGTAGCTTGTACTCCGGTTCTGCCTTTTCATTTCATCCAATTAACGCCCACGTCCATTCTCATCGTGAACGGTCCCAAAAGAGCTATTCCACCATGACATTACGCTATTCGGACTAGAACAGAGCTCACAAGCTCCGTTGATCTGGATCAGGGGGAAAGCTCAGACATGAATTGCGGGGGTTTATCATAGGTCCAGTACCAAGTGACAGCGGATCAGAGCGTGTCTACGAAACGTTACTCTCGGATCCAGGCACTTCCGCGTTTGTGGTTAGAAGGGGGAGTACGTGATCAGAGCGGAGCCGTGAAAACCAAACGCCCAATAGTTTTGACCCAACGGATTCGCATATCGCAGGAGCTTCTCGAAATCATTAGTTTCTTGTGTTGTTATTAATAGTAATAGGTTCATAAGCTTGGCGCTGGCCTGGAGAGCATTGTTAGTGTCAGCGATGTTCGGGGTATATGAAGCCTACCGCATGGCGAAAGCTATCCCCCCATTTCTCCCCTTTCTCCCCTGGCCATATTCCCCTTCAACATGCGTTATTTATATTGGCTTCCCCTTCTGGCGGGGTTTACCAACGCTGGCCTGACCAGCAGATTCGATAGAGAGGCTTGCTTTACCTGTCTCGACACTATACAAGAATGTACCGACGCTGTCAACGACGCCGCAGAGTCCTGCCAGGACGCGTGTGAAGGACTACCTCCGATCGGCCCCCTGACGGATTGCATCTTTGATTGCGTGGATGAACAGCGGGATGGGCTGGCGGAGTGCAATTTGAACTCTTGCCTCTGCTCCGTCTGCGAGCTTGATTACGATTGTGCTATCCAAGCCACGCACACATACCCTTCGGCCACCGCAGATCCCACCGATTCCGAGCCCACGACCGAGTCCACTGCGCCCACTGATACCCTCACGAGCCCCAACGATACTCCTTCAGACACCAACACCGCTCCTATAACAGCACCTACTTCTGTGGAGTGTAAACGGGCCGGAGATGGCGACACGTGTCCAGCACCCACTCCTCCGCAATGCGAATTTGACCAAAAACTTTCGCTGAGATGTGGTTATAGCACGATATCCCAAACCTGTGCCGACCAAAAGATGATTCTGAGACAGGGACCTATCGGGAAGCCGAACGGTTGCGGATCTTCAGGCAACTATTTCCAAGATTTAATCCATGCGGGTCTGGATATAGTGGCAACCGAGTTTCGAGCATGCTGCAATAGACACGACGATTGTTGGGGCCAGTGCAGCTTTGGCGACGACAGTCTCTTCGACTACTGCAATGGACAATTCTTCTCGTGCATGATCGATGTCTGCAATCTCCAGTATCGTCAAACGAAAGGGATTCTCAGCGGCTCGCTTCTTGGAGTGTGCCTGAACAAAGCAGTCGATATCGCCGGTGCAGTAGAAATCGGCGGATGTGGCCCATACGACGCAGCTCAATCAAGTGCGTGCATTTGTGGACCATGCGACTCAGATGATGGTTCTGACGGGCCCGGAAAGATCGTCGTGCACACGCCGTCGGATACGATCGCGTCAACTTGTGCCATCGCTTCCTCGATTGGTGCACAGTGGTCGCTGTTTCAATCGGCCTTGAATACCGCGTTGTCCGTCGCAAGCTCGGATGACAGAGTATTCCTCGGCTATTACGCCGGTGTGATCGGCGCCGAC